CGTCAAAATCACTATTCTGTACCAAATTTCGATTAGGTTCTATGCCATTTCTCAGGTTTGGACAACTAGAGGGGCAAAGATTTACTTAAAAAAAAATTGACACTGATGGCTACCGTCTCGGATGGGTTATACTATACTTATAAATATTGTGATGTTTTAATATCAAAAGAAAAATAATAATAAATACCATTGCAATATCTTAAAATAAAGGAAAAATAAAGATAAAATAAAATTGAATTCAAAGAGCGTGCCGGAAGCTTAAAGGATAATTTATGTAATCTTTTTATTGTCACACATTTATCTTGATTGGCATTGTTATCGGTGTTCGTATTTCAACACTTTCTCTCAAAACAATGGCGAGAGATTTATTTAGGTCTATTCCCTAATTCTTTATACTTATTTTACGACTATCACTAAAGTCAACAGACCTCAAACATTTCTGAATTATCTACTGAAAAGAGTAGATCTATAGGATCGAACTGAATAGATCTTAACCTTGATTTTTGTAGAATTCTAACTTTAATTTCTTAGTTATGTGTCCTGAAATTAAAGAATAAAATACAATGAACAACATGGGTGATCAAATCATATCTTTTATCAAATGAAACAATCTCGTTCCGATTCCCTCTCCAGTGGAGATGTCAATCAAACACAACAAGACCATGTGCTTGTTTTTTTTTTGCCTTGTATAAACTGACAAAGTACAAAAACAGAAGTCATAAAACCCTTAATCGCAGCGTCCATCTCGGCCACTCGTTGGTGCACTGTTCTTAGGAGGGCTGAAGAATCTGACGCATTCCCCAAACTACGGAGTCTCCGTTCACTTCTGAAAAGCTTTGGAACGGTTCTGAACCTGTGCAAACTTTAACCCACCAGGTTCAGTTACGTCTGACGTCATCATAAGGGTCCAATCGGTGATTTAACGGTGACTGGGTCATCTCATACCGGTGGATTCCCTGAGTATTCTCGCTGAGTAGATAAACCAAAGTAAATTTGCCATTATTTTGAAAAAGGTTTAAAGGTATTAATTAGAGCAAATGGTTTGATCATTGGTATTTATTTTCTTTGAAGAGGTTAAGAGACATTAATGCCCGCGAGAGGAGTCGCCGGACCATCACCGTGGTGACATCAAAAATGTCACCACGGGTCATCGTAGGTCATCAAAAATGCTAAACGCAAAGGTGTGAGGGAGTTTCCAAGAAATTGGGTCGTCTATTGAAGCCAATAAGACTGTGTCGGTCTAAGTCGGTCTAGAACCGTTCCATGTTCACAGTATTGGCTGTGTGAACGGGGAACACGAAACATGCCACACAAAGGAAAGAAACAGGAATGTATTTGACAAATTGCCCGACGTGGTAGGGCTCGGAGAAGAGCTGGCTGCCAAGTCGAGCTGGATATTTTAGCTATGTAAAAGCCGGTTGTAGCAAGAAGTAGGGTATTTAGTTGTATTTGGACTGCGGCGCCGCCGAGGCGAGGGCTGGAAGTGCAAGAGAGAGATAGGACCCGGCCCGGCTGCCAAAGCGAGGCTACTGTGTAAAACTAGAAAGAGGGAGGGAGGGAGGATGGGTGGGAGTGAAATTTCAATACTGAAAATATGTTCACTTTTCAGTTTCATTTTTGGAACCCCTAAACATGCAATAAGCACAATTTTTAAGCAAGTTAGCAACGTGTATAAGGCCCAATAAAGTCTTGGATGGAGAATAAGTGAGACTTGGAAGCAAAAGAGAGCAACTTGTATCATAAAGAAGTAGTTTGCAATTTGAAAAAAGGTGCACTTTTAATAGCAATATCTTTTTTTAAGAAAGAAAAGCATACGTAAATGGACTGGAGCGTACTGTATTCCATTTTGCATGTTAACGCATACTAAAACGAGTCAAAAATATTCAGAATTTTTCATTATGGATA